TACAATTTTCTTGTGCTCGTCGTTACCGGTATAGTGAGGATCGAGTATTAGAAACGCACAATCTCCACTTGCTTCATTGTAATCAATTCCCAAGAGGGTATATGCAAGAACACCACCACCTGCATCCACGTATTAAGTTATAAGAGAAGATTTCTTCTCTTTTATTGTTCTTTAATTGTTTCTGCAAAATTTCCATCCTATCTTTTAACCAAGAGAAGCGTCAAATATGCTAACCTATCATAATAGGTGTTCCTTGATTGTCAAAGTGCAAGGCCAGCTCTCGACATTTTTCTGGAAGCTCAGCTCCAGATCTAACATTTATGACTTTGCAACTAACCTGTTCAATACAAAAACCAATCAGGTTAAACCCCAAAGCATCTTATTTGAGAAATTACCTGTAAACCACGTTGATGATACTTACACCCAAAAGCTTGTCCAGAACAAAGCTCAATTCAATGGCACCAATCCATTCGCGTGAACCAATGAAAGAAGGATCTTTATCACCAATCTCTACAAGTGTCTGCTGTATTTCCCTGATATCACTTGGCTTGTCAGATCAAAACATATGACACTGATAATTAGCGCCAAATAGAAAGAAAAGAGGAAAGACATTAAATGATGTTGAAAGGTCAAAACGAAACAAGGGCCTTATTTATGGTGCGAATTTCTTTTCAGATTAACAGAGTAACAGCATTGGAATAACTTCAACTAACATATATATAAAAACCCAACTTTAAATACAGTGGTCAGTAGCTCATGAGTCATGACGACTTCAACTATCTCTAAAATGTGGGATGAGCAACTAACTACCAAGAAGGGCTTCAAAAAGAATTAAATAGCAGAGCAAATGCTATACTGGGGCACATTTCATACCTATGAGATGGAACTTCTACGGATGTATAATGTTGGAGTCTGAACCATGAAATTATAGTTTGTAGAGAACGATAAGCACAACCCCACCCCTAGCAAGGAAACAGAACAACACTTAATAGACATATTTAATAGAATTAATTGCGAAAATTCAACCTAAGCAAAGTTGAACATGTATTCTCAACAGGATATTATAACTACTAGGTATGGGAGATTGTGAAAATTACTGAATCATTAAATGCTTCTTGTAGATAATGGTAGTATTCATACGAGCCTTGCACCATAGACACACTGCCCCCTGAAACTGCATAAAGACACAATGGTTCCAAATAAAATTCCACTAATCAGAAGCAGGGAAAGGGAATATACAAAGAAACAAGACCAGCCACCAACCCCCACTGCTTGGAATCCCAAGGTGTACATCCTTGAGCAAAGTAGAACCTGATATTACCACAGAAATGTATCAAAATAGTGACTACTCCAAAAGAAAAACGAAAAGAAAAGAAAAAGTACAACTTTTCTTTCTGGAGAGGGGATATGGGGGGGAATAAAAGCCTTGCAACTGACAAACGGAGTTGCCTATCTAAAGGAAAATGGTTACCCTTCCGTGTCGGGTCACTCCTTATGCCATCCCTCGTAGAGAAATCCAGAGCGTTGGCAATTCTTAAAAGAGGCCGATCGAAAGGTAAACCCAGTCTTAAGTGTAAAGATTTCCTCACTTCAACTGCAGAAAGCAAAGACAAGATTAAGAAAAGTAATCCAACATTCAAATTCCAAAAGAACCTTGTACAAGCTCCCTCTCTAAAAACCTGCATCTAAAAACATAATACACCCTTTTCCACATTCACAAGCACTGAACCAAACGCTACATTTTTATCATGCAAGAAATGAAAGGATTTATTCTACATCTTGACAATAAAAAAGAACAACCTCTAAACTTCCAGCTAGGAGCCACTTGAAATTATTCTACCCTAAATAGATTGTTCCCTGGAAGAGGAAAAGTTCAACATCACCACTGCCTACCTTGCTTCATTTCTGTTTCCCCATAGTTGAGTTCATAGACAACAATAATTGGATGCAGAACACCAGGAGGGCTAAAGTGATAGGTATGTAGCTGGCAATGCAATAAACCAAGTAGTTGCATTCAGAATTTAAATAAAAATAATGGAATGAAAATACTATGAGAACAATATTCGGACTTACCACAACCATGTCAAAAGAGGGAAGTTAGGTCTGGTTGTTCTGATACTCATTAATATACTAGCTTCTTTATATAACATTTCTATGAATAAGCATCAGATATTCTGGGAATTCCTTGATAGAGCTTAAGGTTTTCTAGCGTGCCCACATATTTGCTAGTCCATAATTAGGTGAATGAATGTGAGCACAAGCACACTGTGAAAGGTAGTCTATATTTGAAATAAGAAGAGAAAATTGTATAGTGGAATGAGGTTAATGCCAATAAGACTCGTTCTTTTGATTATAAAAAAGGAAGGAGAGAAAAACGGTTTCTTAGAAAAAGAATTTTTGGTAAACCCAAAGCCTGAATTGTGAAGCGTTAAGGATTCACCAACCAACAATTGGCCTTTGACCAGAAGATGTCCTTATGTATCCCAATAGCAGGCAGCATGCACATGGAAAGAGATAGTGAAACAGAAAAGATTCACGTGTACAAGAGATAATCTTGTTTTTTCTGAATTTTAGGGTTCAATTAGTAGTCATGTCATATAATACAAGAAATGGTTTGCCTTACCTGAGGATGTTGCGCTAACAGGTTCGGCAGGATTGTATTTCCCACTAAATTAAACTGATCAACCAACCCTGGGATAATTAACTTTGAAACTGCATGCCTCAGTGGGAGACCCTTGACTGCATAGCAGAGCACTTCTAGCTTATAATCTACCACCAAAACTCTGGCTTCTTCCAAAGCTGAAACCACTTGTTTTAGATTCCATTACAAAGCTTCATACTCGAAAATAAATATGATTATGTGATTAAAATTCAAAGCAATACCTGGAAAATATTCTGCAATAGGTGCAGTAGACTTTTCAGAGTTAACTGACCTATTCAGCAGAACACTCACTTGGATTCTATCTGCATGCTAAGCAGGAAAGGTATTCAAAAATTGAATTCCAATATCCATTGTTATTGCTGAAAGAAAATAAAAACAAACTACCCAAATAGTTGCGTTCCAAGATCCAACATAAGCAAACTAACGCCCCCATTAATCTCTTACACTTTTTCTTACCTCAGCAGAATATACTGGTGGGCCTTTTTTACTTTCCAGACAGAAGTGCGAACATGATAAAGAATCTGCATCAGAATTTTGAGCTCTTTCATCCAAAAGTTTGACATTTGAGAGATCTGTGTCAAAATCCAAATCTACACCACGAAGGATGACAGGTTGAGGTACTTCAGCAGAATTTTTTCTTAATGCTTCTACCATGTATGCAACCTTTGGATCTTTGAACTTGGCAACAACTGCTTCAGTTGCACGCCGAAATATCTTTTCCAAATCTAATACAACAACACACGAGAAGTGAACATTCAAATCAATTCCGATGAACCACATGGAGTGAATAGTAGCTTAAGTTTGTCAAATTGCAAGTATGAAATTAGAAATGAATGAGAAGGTCTGAGGGCAAAACTGAAAGGTGAACATGAACCATTCTGGCTCATAGTTTCGTTAACTGACACTCAACAAAGCTTTATTCTTTAAAGGGGTCAATTAAACAAATAAAATTATTAATGCCAGATACTTTAAATTTTTGTAGCAAAAACCTCAATAATGTATACACTTATATGTGTAGTAATTCTAATAACTCCGTGAACCTAAATTTCTAGACATACATCAAGGTTACTTCAGTAAACATACTATGCACAAATTTTATTGAGTAAAAGCTCCTGAACTTAACTTCCCACTTCTGCTCTGAACAATCAGTAGCTCATCTAGAACTAGAAGCCAACCAATTCACAGAAGAAACATAACAAACTACAAAGCATGAACTGCTCAATCAAATTTCTGAATGCAAATTACGCAGTTCTAAAAAAATGCACCACCGAAACAACTTACCAGACGGCTTGTTTACTGGATAATAGATCGGCAACTTAAGCGGAAGCTCACATCGGAGCAGACAACCCCTCTCCCAAATATACTTCTCAGGATCATCTTCATACAACACGTTAACACATTCAAAGCTCTTAGAACTCTCGGATTTCGACACGAAAAACTTTATGTCTCCACCGTTCAAATCCGCAACAGCTCCAATTACTTGTTGACTATCCATTTTTTCTCTTTCACCGCAGAAAAGCTTTCGCAACCTTCGAGCCGCAGCAATAGCCTCGTCGGCGTTCTTTTCAGCATCGGAATTTGCAAATATCAATGCTCCGATCACCTCAAATCCTTTCAACAGTAACGTTCGAAGCTCTTCTGCTCAGGTAACGGAAACTAATCAGAGTTTGAAATTATGTTCGAGAAAAAAGCGCAATTATTGAATTTCTGTAATTTTTTTCTCAGGAAACAAACTGAAATTCGGTACCTGATTCTCTGTGGTAGTCTGGAGAGGTGGCATCGGTGTGGATGCATCTGATCGTGGAGACGACGTTAAGTGGCGGGAAGAATGGGGATCCGATCAGCCATTGGAGGCCGTGTTCGTTCTTGTAGAGCACAAGCTTAGAGCAGAGAACTCGAACGCTTGTATTCTCGTACACGTTCTCCATTTACTACTGACTGTGAGCTTTGCCAAATGCAGAGCTGCTCGTCTTCTCGATTTCACTACCGTTTTTCGGCGGAAGCCGAAATTTGATAACTGACAAACGGAGAGGGTCTGACTCCCAAAACAAAAACGAAAAATAAAAGCAAAACGGAGAGTACTTATAAGCCATTGAGCCCGGTGATTGGTTAATAGTTGTACTTTGGGCCGTTGGGCCCTATTGATGGTTATTTTCTCATCCTTGGATCCCCTTCAGCTTTTTTCAGTCATTAAAAAAAATTAAGAATTTAGCACTCTTGATCTTGATCACACAAGGGATTGTTTCCAGTTTTCTTTATGAGATGAGGATTCAAACTTGAGGTCTCATCTGACACTAGGAAGAAAAGTATCCCTATGCCTTCGTGAGGGGCAGGGGTACATGTCATTTATGCACATCATTTCCATACATTACTCTTTCTTTTTTAAGTTAACCTTTTGGGAGTTGTTGGCACTCCAAGAAAGTCATCATATAGTTCTCCCGACTCGCCTTTTCCGATGATATTTTGGGAGTGAAACAATAACAATTCCCAATTTTTTTAAACCCAAAATTGGTTTGTCGATTGTTTCATAAGCATGTTGTAGAAAACCAAATGAGAGGCGCAATACTAGATGGAAGAAAATACAGTTCTTGCTATATACTATATATAAATATGAATCTGGTTCCCGAAAATATCTATAACATCAATGACAACCTCTTGCAATTGCAATATAAGACCTACAAAAGAGAAATGTCCAAGGTAGGAATTTCTCTGATGCTCCTCTCCGGCCATCATAAATTACAGCTATCTGTCAGGTACACCTTTGTAACTACTTAGCAGTTGCACAGGGAAGGACCCAACAACCAGGGTGTGAATTTTGTCGTTGATGCCTCAGCTGCCAAGCCTGCAGCATTAACACACTTGATTTAGTCAGATATTTGTAAGTGTTAATATAATCTTCTCAAGAAATGGTCCAAAACTTCAACAAAAAATCAAATTTTCTCTTTTCATTTCTTACTATCATTGTTGCTATACCTTTCCCAAGGGAAGGGTAGGGGTTCTCCAACAAAGCAAACCTGAGTTTTCCTTCAATCTGCAATTAAGACAACAAGAATCTTAAAACAAAAATTTAGGGCACCAACAAACAGAAAGAAGACCACAGCAAAACTTACGCATCCTCGTCTTTATAGCTGTCAATGTTGCTACAAGAGCCACTGCAGAAGACATATGAATCATTTCCCACTAGACATGTTTCAAAAGATGTCCTGCTTGGCGCAAACTTGTTATGTAGTTTAGTGCAAAATGTCATCTGGGAAGCATCTGATGAACGCAACTTCTTCTGAAGCCTCATAGTCCTAGGGAAACAGTTTGGTTGATGTTCGGGTTCTTCAGACGATAAAACCTGGCTTTCATGGTTGCTCTCCTCTTCCTTTGAAGAATCAACCATTAACCCGGGTGCCTTTGATGTATCATCTTCAAATGATCTACGGGATGAGGCAGTCCTTGTGCTGAGTATATTTCCTTCACTATTTCTCAAGGTACTTACAACCACCATTCTGTCACGGCAGTTATGAGGCATTTGATAGGCACAATCAGAGGAACAAGGTAAAATAGGTCTGTTACTTAATATAGGCTTTTCAGATGTGTACTCAGAATAGTCTGAATCACTTCCACGTCCAGTAGATGATTGTGACTTCTGCTGTATTCTGCGGGAACAGCTGAACAAACTAAAAGATGGCTTCTTCACTTTTGCATACTTTGAATCAGAAGCACAAGGTACAAGATTGATCCTGACCTCCACATTACAACCAAATATAGATTGAAGTGAACTTGCAATGATCTTCCATGACTTCTCAGCCTTAGATACATAATCAGGATGGCAGAATTCCAATTCAGCTATTGCTAAACCTAAAATTGAGCATTACTCTGTTAGTGCCATAAGCATAAGAAAACTCATTTCTTATAAGAGCTGATGTTTATGATTTTAAACCGAAGTCAGCTAAAACAGTTCGCATGTATGGAAATGTGATCTAACAAGTGCAAGCTAAGAATATAAAGTTGCTGATACATATCTTCTTGAAATGTCTCCCCTGGTTTTCATATATGTTCAAATGTGATTTCACCATAGAATTAATGATGAAATTCTAGATGTATGTACCTTGGCTAACAAGCAAGGAAGATAATTTTCCTTGTTTCTTCAGAAAATTCTTGAATGAATTGGATTGGCATGAATCTGTAGCTCTCTTCCATATGGATTCCAACTTTCCATCACTATCCTTCTGCATTCCCAACTTGTCCGGTATATCGACATTGCATGAACAAGTGACAAGGTTCTTGAAGCTCTCCCCTGTGGATGATGTACCACAAAACTTGATATCAAACTTTTACCAAACTAACCACTTGAACTTACAGAAAATAAAAGGCATTTCCATGAACAGAATTAAAATAGAAGCTATTCATCACAATCGGAATCAGCTAATGTAATTATTCTCACCTCTGTCTTGCGTACTTCTCAAACACAACTTTGTATCATTACCATCCAAGGAAGAAGACTCCACAGAGCTTAGCTGCAGCAGAGCTGCAGTAAGCCATGTCATTTGATTTTTGGACACCCTTAATTGCTTCTCAGTTTCAGAGAATATTTTCAAAGCATGACTCAGTTTCTGCAAGTCCACCTCAGCTGTGACAGAGGAAATCGAAAGAATACCACCATAGTATAAGTGTATAACCATAAGATGACAGTAATTAACTGCAGTAAACATAATGCAGGAACCACGACAACCAGCCAACATATTTTCAAACCAAATTCTTCAAGGTACATCGAAGGAACAATAAGCATATTATAATATTTAGGGAGATTCACTATAATACCCAATATAGGAGCCCAAATTATAAAAAAAACCTTATATGAAATGGACTTTAGAAACACACCCAAAGCCCATTTACAACATAACAAAAAGGCTTTTAACTTCTTTTAAATTACAAAACTGCCATTGATATCTTAAAACAAACCCAACCCAAAAACCTCATTAAAAAGCCCAAAATACTAAATGGGGCATCAAAGTAATTTAATAATTAAAATTAAATTCAAAAGGGCAAGCTGTCATTTTTTGGGTATGTTTATAGAAATTAAATGGTGTAGGGTTTATTTATAGTTTTAGTGCTAAGAATGGGTATATGACTAAATATCTCTAATATTAACTTATGAGGGCAACGCATGAGCAACTTATATAAGATGACCTCTTGAAACAAGAATATAATTTGAAGCAGAGAAGACAGAGTGGTAAAACTAAGTACAGTTTAAATGTATAAAAACCATTAGTGGAGTACTTGAAAAATCATTAATAATTAATTTCGTTTACAGTAGTAAGTTATGACCAAAATCAAACAAAATTTAGGGTCTAAGACAGCATGCTCAAAGAACTTCATTTCCTGTAGAAAATTCTGAAGGGATCTTCAGGAAGCATGCGACCATATTTAACTACTTACATGTATGCCTGCTAGAGAACCTTTTCTGGACTTCAGAAGCACCATCCTGACATTTACCAGCAAGAATATCCATAACAAGATTTGCCAGCTGCGATATGAGTTGCATGGGATCAACCCGGGATCTCATCAACTCCCTGGCCCTTATTACTGTACTAGATGTGTCAGATGATAATGCCAGATCAAGCAAACCAAGTAATTCATCATCGGAGACAACTCCAATCTGCAAAACAATATAAGGGATTTTTTTTTGTAAATACTGGATAAATAGACTGCGCTATATATAAAAGTAATAAGTATGAATAAAAATAAACTTCCAAGGACTCACAAATTCGTATGCCTGGGCCATTGTGATTTTTTTACCAAGCAAACTTAGCTGATCAAGCATCATCTCTGCATCCCTAAGAGAACCATTTGAATTGGAAGCAATAAAGTCTAAAGCACCTTGATCAAATTCAAGACCCTCTTCAACACAGATTTTCCTTAATTTTCTTGCAACATCAGCATCTTTAAGCTTTGGAAAGTGATATCTTTGAGACCGTGACACTGCACTTCGTGGAAGCTTATCGATGTCAGGAGTGATCATCACAAAGACAACATGTTGAGAAAGGTTATCTATGCTATTCAAAACAGTCGCCCATGTTTCCCCACGCATCAAGTGGCACTCATCAATAATGAAAACCTTAAAACGTGACGAAACTGGAGGTATAGCTGCATTCTTAATAAGGGATCTAACCCTGTCTCTCCGATTGATTCTCACAGAATCTACTTCCTTAATGTCTCTACTCCTTCCAGAAAAAAAGGAAACACATTCGCAGCAGAGACCACATGGCCTATGCTCCTCATTTGAAAGGCAATTTAGTGCCGCAGCAAAAATCCTTGAGGCAGATGTCTTTCCTGTACCGCGCGGGCCATGGAACATATAGAATGAGATTATTCTTCCTCTAGAGATAGCACCCAAAAGAGACCTCGCTACTAAATTTTGTCCCACCAATTCATTAAAAAAATTTGGCCTGAATTTCTGACTCAGACTCCTAGGATTTTCTGATAGTGGGTTAGTTTTATTACCAATGTGTTTCAAGCTCCTCTGCTCATAAAGTACACTCTCATCTACATTCTTGTATAACAAAGGATATTCATCTACATCCAAAGAACGGTTAGTTTCTCTGAATCTAGGGGTTCTTGACCAGCAGCAGCTGACCTGAGATGCACTATGGCTTGATATAGCATCACTAGCTGAGGAGCATGGACTGCCTACTTCACTTGTAACCTCACCAACTTCCCCACACGAATTTACACGATTGTTGCACTGTGATTTTCGCTTTGATGTAATCTGATCTGTTCTTTCTAAATGTGATGATCTGGCATCTGCTTCATAATCCACATCCTCCAAAGTATTGACACGTGTCAAGACCAATCCCTTATCCATTTGATTGCTGAAGTATCTACCACTGAGTGATTTATTTCCACAAACCTCTTCCTTATCTGATTCTGAAAAATCAAATTCTTCAGCCTGTTTGCTCCTAATAGGACGACTCCCTGTTCTTCGAACCCACTCTGAATTCTCATGCAAGATCAACCTAGATTTTTCCAAACCACAATCTAGCTCAAAATCATCTAAGCAATCTCCTCTGTGTCTGTAGAAACCCAAATTCTTTGGTCTCAAAGAACGATGTTGGTCAGAGCCACCTTCTTGGAAAGTATTCATGAATCGCATAGAAATGTCATTACTCGAATTTGTTTCCCAATTTACATTCTCAAGCGGAGCAGAGAATTTGCTCATAGAATTAGTTGATGGATCCCTTAGAGACCTCACCCTCCTCAGTGCCACAAGAGTCTTAGAAATAGGAAGATCAACAGAATGCCGCCGCCCATCCATGATTTTCTCGAACAGAAAATAACAATCAAACACAAGAACTCAAAGAAACACCAAAATTTACCATGAAATTTCAAATTTCAGGACTCAAAAGGACCTGCGTATTCCCAACCTGAAAGAGGCAAGGCAGTAATACAAACATTAAAATGGACACCAGAGAAAAACCTCTTAATCAAAAACAGGTAAAGAATTGTTGTGGATTTAACTTTCCACAGAGAAACCAAAACCACAAAATGGTAGACGAAACAATTTTTTTCAAAAATTCAAAACTAATTCCAAGTTCAGTCATTCACTGTCTGAAAGACCAATCAGTGAGCAAAAGAAGGGGGGAGAGGAGAGCAAAAAACAACGAATATACTGATTTCTCATCAAGGGCATTTCAGCATTGACATTTTAGAGAAAACAAAAATCAAAACTTGAGCATTCACAGAAGTACATAACACTGTTACAGAATAACACCATGGAATTCATAAAAAGCTCTTTCATCTTACCTCTGGATAACAAAACGAAAAACCCACAAAGCCATTCCCAAGAAAAAGCATCAAACTCACCCCACATGCAGTAAACAAGCATTGCTGATTAATACATTCCACCAAAAGCTGCAAGCCCATTCCCATTAGTCAACTCAAAACCACCATCATCCAGCTCAACATCACACAGTCTACAGAGAGAGAGATAGAGAGAGAGTGAGTCAAAGAGAGAATCTACAATTCAAAAATAAACAATAAAAATATTCAAACGCAGAAAAAAAACAATGCGAAACGACAAAGATGAGAAGAAAAAAACCCAGACCTTTCGAAATAGAAATAATAAAAAACCTCTTGGAACTTGACGAGATTTTTCAAAGGGGTAGCGTATAAAGCGGAGCAGATTAAATAAAACCCTAACCCTAAAACAGAGGTCTTGGTGGTTGAGTTCCGTTGTCGTGGAGAAGCATAGGTAGGGGAAGAAGATAGAGGCGCGGTAAGTGGTAGAGTAGTAAATGTAATAAATGTGAGGGGCGGTTAGGTCTAGGCATGCCATTGCTTGTGAGCGAGGAGCCGACGTGGACAGAGAGGAGAGGACACAGCTAAATTCTGAGTCAGAAATTTTCTGGTGCTTTGTTGCAGAGTTTGTGCAGAGAAAATAGTAGCGTAGGTCTGCTTGTCAGTCTCGGAGAGTGAGCTCTTCAGGGGTGTTTTGGTCATTTCAGCACTCGGCGGTCTTTCAGTTTATAGTTTACCCCGGGAAAACGATGGACTGTATGTCTCTGTACCAAATGGATAATTCAGTTGGATGACTTGGCCACCAGGCATGAATGACACGTGTCAGACAATTGTATACAGGTTCTGTGCTGGCCTTCGTATTTTTTTCGGTGATATTGCCTTGGTCTGTTTGTTTACCGGGAAACCGGAGGAAAATGCCAAGAAAATTCAAATTCGAATGAGATTTATATAATGCAACAAGGACTTTGTGACAGAAGTGAATTACTTATAAATTTATAGCGTGGCCCCTGCAAAATTTAATAGACAATAACATAACTTCACACATCAACCACGTTAGAAACCTGTGGTAAAATACTAGTTTTGTACACCAAGTTTTGGAACTAGGTACCAAAAATAATCAAACGGACAATGTTTCCAATGTGATATTAATATCAAAATATTATCACCTAGGTAAAAGATCAAAATGCTATTTTGGATTCTGGGAATTTGAATTCTAGTCTTGTTACGAAAAGCATTGCCTCCTTCACCATTCATCTCATTCATGTTATTTTTAGGCAACGCATACCTATTTGCTTGTTTTTTAACTCATCATTTGCAATTAGAGCGTAAACTGACTTATTATAATTTGACTTTGACTCGTATTTTGGCTTGATTATGACTTTTTAAGTAATATTATGCAAAATGAGTTTGAGAATCTTGGTATTTAGTTTAGCACTTATACAATTACATTCTAATTTTAAACATGACATGACGCGATGTGATTGTTAAACATGTCATATTTAAGTTAGGTAAGTTATTAACATGGTACGTAAATTGTCAATAATCATGTTAAATGGGACGGCATGTTTTTTACACAAACACGATTATAACTCGAAAAAAGATCGTATCCAATACTAACTCACTGACTTCTTCTTGTTCCTTGAGTTATGTCCAAATTTTGCATTTTCTGCATAATAATAATATGCAATAGTTTCAGATGATCTTCTTCTTGTTGTTTGGAGCTGCCCACTAATGACAATCACTAGATCTCGCTCCACTCTCTAGAGTAGTAAACACCCCACCCTCTAATGTGTACCTGCATGCAGAAAAGGAACAGTCACTTTGTAGCTAGCTTCATGAGAAGTATGGAGATGTATTTATATATATATATATATATATATCTCTCCATGCCTTGCAGCTTTTGAATTTGGTGTGCAAAAAAGTATTGGCATGTGACATGATGGCTTTATGAAAAAAGTAACACACCCATAATTAACTCTTTGCATAAAACTGGGCAGGACAGCCTTCATTGCTGCAGCCTGTATTCTGAATATGTCATGTTTATTTTGAGCCAATAGGTGGATGCAGTTGAAGTTTGCATTTCTGACATTACCTGCTTCAATTGAGACAGAAGACCAGCTCACATGCTGCCGACCTAACTTAACCCAACCCAACTCGACCCGAACCAACTCAACCCAACCCAGTAGAGCGCTAGAAATATAAAGGGCTGGTACAGTCAATATGAGCCAATCAGTCTTGTACAGGTCTCTTAGATTCTGGCTCTCTTTTGGGTTGGGCCAGACAGGCCTAAATGTTGAGGTAAAATTTGGGCTGGGCCAGACTATAATCGAGCATATGAGAAAAATAAACAAAAAATAAATAAGAAAGTTGTTGTATGTTTTGTGAGAGCACCAAATATCGATGAATTGAAAAGGGGGGACATGTGAGCAGTCTCATTCGATCAAGGGAATTGTCCTGAACGTTGCCAACATCCTCTTCACAATTTCAGATTCTCAGAGTGTTTATGAGAGAGAGAGAGAGAGAGAGAGAGAGAGAGAGAGAGGGACCATTGAAATTGTGGTGAGCTGCTCCAAGTTTAGGTTTTCACATTCCACACGAATTCTCCGGGATTCAAATTTCTCTGCAGCTTTCGATTTTCTAGACCTATACAAATATTCTAGTTAAATATGCATTTGTCAGTTTGTCAGTACATGGATACTTTTTTCCTGTTGGATGTTTTTGACAAGAAAAATACAAATATAAAGTACAGTAATTAACTATGAAATTGATTCATTAGCTTGCATGCATGGAATGGAAGTTCTAATAACACCCATATGCACATTCAAGTGCTTTCAATTCAAGAGGATTTTAAGTTTTCAACTACGTAATTTAAAACCAACCATTTCTACAAAATATATATATGGATCTCACACGTATGATACCCTTCTTAATTAATTCGTTTTTCGTTCATATCATCAGATTTTTTAATCTAATTTCGTTAAAATAAAACAAAGAACTTGTAGCTCGTATACTTCGAATATTCTGTTCGATTTCTGCTTACTCCAATATCTATGTACAATTCAAATTATACTTAATCACAAAGTATTAATTGATTTGTGCATTTCTTTACGTTATAACTCTCCTTTTTGACATCTGTTTTCAGTTAAGTTTGCAAAGAGAATTATTCTACTTTTTTTTAAATTAATTAAGAATTAGAGATCTGATACCGTCTGGTTGTTGTTGGTTGGACAAAGTTGTCTGGTTCATATTTAACCATTTATTTATTATTTAATTTCTTGCATGCATGAAGAGTGCATGACAGAGTTGTCTTTGAAAATGGCGAAAGCGGTGGTGGCCGTTGGAAAATCATGGAGACTCACGAGAGAGTAACAACAAAATGAGACAACCTGTAAACCGCGTGTTAAGTTAAGCTAAGCTGGAACTAAATAGCTAATTAGCCGATTTAGAAGGACTAACTCCGCAAATATTTTATCATTAATCTCCTTGATACTCATTTATGGCCTCTTGCTGATATTGTTTTCTTTCCTCCTTGATAAGCCCTTGATTTACGCCTCCATAAATGTTCTTCCATTTTCGTGGATTCCCATATCTTTTTTTCCTCCACATATTTTGCTCAAGAAAACATGGAGATTTCTGTAATGGCATTGGGGCAGCAGTACCCCAACCCGTAGATCTAATTTAAGCGCAAAAGGACGTACTTATTGTTCGTGATTTGAACTTAAATATAAAGGGACGAACTCACTATCCTAATCAACTTGCCTAACTCACGTTTGCACAATATATTGTATTAATGTTGCTTAAAGTTTAGGGTGCAAACTAACTTTCAACGAAAGCACACGTAAACCATAATAAAAAGCCTTTGATGCAAACCAAATGGAGAAAAGGAATACGGCAATTTCAAGAAAATAACAGGACAATACAATTGTAACCAAAGAAAATATGAAAATAACAGGACAATAATACGACACGTGAGCTGTGAGCATGACCCTTGGTCTTACGACAAAGTACAAACCCAACCACATGAGATCGACTGCTCAGGATATCATCGCCACTAAAATCTAATAAATATATTTTGGCAATTTAGAAAAAAACCAGAAAAAGAAAGCCAATGGATTGGAAATTTCAGAGTAAATAAGAGACTCTGTTTCCTTCTGTCTCTGCCCCAGCGCGAGAAATTTGCTCGCTTTTTCACTTCAAACCCTCTGTCTTCACTCAGCAAACAGTAGAAGAAAATAGGAATGTCAATTTGCTGCTTCTGATCTTCAAATCCCACAGGACTAATCTTACACAGAGAGAGAGAGAGAGAGAGAGAGAGAGAGAGAGTGGGTGGGGTTACTTCATCCATGGCTGCAAAGTTTGCCTTTTTCCCACCCAACCCACCATCCTACAAGGTAGTTAAAGACGAAGCCACTGGTCTCTTGCTTATGGACCCTCTTCCTCATCGTGAAAACGTCGACGTTTTGAAATTTCCCACTCGCCGCGGCAATGAGATCGTGGCCGTTTATATACGCCACCCAATGGCCACCTCTACCCTGCTGTACTCTCATGGCAACGCCACTGATATCGGTCAAATGTACGAGCTTTTCATCGAATTGAGCATTCACCTCCGCGTCAATCTCATGGGGTATAATTTCTCTCTACCCTTTACTCCAATTTTAAAGCTTTTGCTTTTTTTATCTGCTGTTTTGGTTTTGTGTCCTTGTGTCTGTGATTGGTTTTCTCGATTGGAATTGGGGGTGTGCCATAAGATATTTGTGATTCATGATTTGATTTAGAAATATGAATATCTTTCTTAAGAATTCTGATTTAGATATACAAGTATCTTAAGAGTTCTGATGAGCTCAAGTAGTGTTTTGGCTCATTCAATCAGTTAGCAATGAAGTTGGAATAACAAAGTGGTTTGGGATCTACAGTTTAACTGGAAGAGGTTTTATAAATGAATATCAGAAGTAGGTGAACCTAAATATACACGGTTGGAAGCTGGGACAGTTAATTTTCAATTGTCAAGGTTATAGAAGCAAAAAATTTGTTTATGAACTGCCCAGTGCCCATCGAGAAGTTAGTTAGACTGCTCATGCTGTGGTATATCATATTGAACTAAATTTCACTATTTCCTCCCATCGAATCAAATTTTGGTTATTTGACTTAAAATGGAAACGCAAGTACCTGAAGAAAACGTGAAAGTTCAACTGGCATTCACTTCAATATCTCAGAGGCTAGCCATGAAGGCGAATCTCCTTTATACATGCACATTTTGTTATATCAGCCGGGATCCTGATTGTATGCAAACCTGGGTTTCAAATGCAATTGTTTAATTGAACTAATTTGATTTTACCATATTATTTGGAAAACATGGAAAACATTCTGAACCATATTATTTGAACGTGGGCAGGTATGATTACTCTGGCTATGGACAGTCATCAGGCAAGGTAAGTGCCGTATGAATCATGTATTTGTCATGATTCAAATTCTACTACACAGGTTTATCTGATGCTCATTTGTAAACCTTTCTGCAGCCAAGTGAACATAATACTTATGCAGATATTGAAGCTGCATATAAGTGTCTCGAAGAGAGGTATGGGGCTAAGCAGGAAGACATAATCCTCTATGGTCAGTCTGTTGGAAGCGGTCCTACTGTTGATCTTGCTGCCCGTTTGCCTCGACTGAGAGCAATTGTTTTGCACAGTCCTATATTATCAGGTTTAAGAGTCATGTATCCTGTGAAGCGCACGTACTGGTTTGATATCTATAAGGTTAGATTCTTGATATCAATTTTGGTGAAGACTTTTATTGAATTACTTTATATTGAGAATGGTGATGCATATGTACATGTCTGAACCTGATTTTCATTTATGTGCAGAACATTGATAAAATCCCTCTGGTGAAATGTCCTGTGCTGGTAATACATGTAAGTACTCAACAATTATTATTTTGCCTCCTCTGTGAAATGAAGTGATTGTTGGAATGTTACTATTTTCCATACATTTGACATGTCATTTAATTTTAGTTTTTCATAGATGATTAAAGCAGAATTATCATGCATTTATATTTGCAATCTCATGCTGAAGGATCCATCTGAAATCAATTGGAAAAAAGTTGATGTTGTTTAATCTTGGATTTCACCACAAATTTTGAATTTCTTTTTTTGGTTGACATTTTGTGTTTGTTATTCTTCTCCAGGGAACAGCTGATGAAGTTGTCGACTGCTCACACGGCAAGCAACTTTGGGTACTATGTCAAGAGAAATATGAACCTCTATGGCTAAAAGGCGGAAGTCACTGCAATTTGGAACTGTATCCAGAATACCTTAGACATCTCAATAAGTTCATATCAACTGTTGAAAAATCACCTTCCCGAAGGATTAGTTCTAGAAAAAGCACAGACCATAGGAAAAGTACGGACCGCATCGAACTTCCTAGGAGGAGTGTTGATTTTTTTGAGGCTCCAAGGAAGAGTACTGATCGGAGAGAGAAATCAAGGAAGAGCACTGATAGACCTGAAAAGCTGAAATTTAGTGAATACAAGTTTAATAACGTTGACAAGGTAGATAAGTTTAGAATCTCTGCTGACCAGATAGAGAGGTCACGAAGAAGCGTGGAATACCATCACGAGAAATCTAGGAGAAGCATTGACCATCAGCCGGTAAAAGTTTGTATTGGGTTGGGATAAAGAAACATAGAACAAGTGGGGTTGGGAAATTATTTGGGATCTAACTTAAGGTTGTAGAGTTTGTGGTTTCAGCAAAAGTTTGTGGTTTCAGGATGTGTATCTTTGTTATTTTATGTAACTTTGTCATGGCTTGTAGAGTTTTAATGTGTTCTTTTGGGTGTCTTTGCCCCTTGATTGTTAATGAAAGAACTCTAACCTCTTTGTTTCTCATCATTGAAAGGAAATGAAGCGCATGGTTCACAAGGGGAACTGTAGAAAATGATACGTGGCAATGACCTTTGTTATAGTCTTAGCAATTTTGTTCTTTGTTCATTCAAAAGGGTAATAATCAAAATCAAACGTGTAGCATTTTGTTATAGGCTTTTATGGCAATTGTTCTTTTCCTTTTTATGTTTCTACCACTGAAAATCTATGTGCAGAGAGATGTGGAGAGAGATTCGAATTTGGGTGCAAGAGTATGCTGGCCTAACCCATTCCATTTTGTTTTTGGCTCCCATTAGAGTTCAAGTGAAGCAACACGATTGAAACGAGAATTTGATTCAATAAACTATTGTCTATCAATTATAATTAATTGATTGAAAAATTGAAGAATTTTTTTTAAAAAAATAAATTTTCACCAAGCTTAAAGCGAAAACGTTGTCGTTTTGGTTATTGCCTCGCCATACCGTACCCGCGTCTCCTTCTTCTTCGTTCGCCTGCCTCTTCCGACTTCATTGGGTTGGATCTCTAGCAGTCTACGCAACCCCAGCTTTTTTCCGGGACTCGGTTGGAATTTACATTCCATTCTTTTCGATTTTTTTCCAAATTCTCAAGAACTTTGAGTTCCGGTTTCTTTGAGGTTAAAGGCCTATCAGAATTTTCACATTCCGGAATTACCCCTGCGCCTTTAGCAACATGATTGCATCCTCTTCGTGAAGCCCTAACACCATCGATTGCTTTGGCACAGTGCTCGATTCGATCACAATGTAAGTATGGCTCACTTCAATCAACTCGTCGTTTTGGTCTTCAAATAGAGTTTTGCATGATTTTGCTTTCACAAAGTTTCATGAATTTTCTTTTTGATCGATTTCTCAGTTGCCAAACAGAGATGACTGTACACTGTGGAGAAGTTTATTATGCTCAGTCAACTTTGTTTGTGCAGGTCACAGGAGGAGATAGCAAGGGAAGCGATAGAGCACGCACTGAAGGCTCTTCGGAAGCGGCATTTGCTCGAAGAAGGTGCTCATGCTCCGGCTTTTATTGCTCTTGCGAGGCCAATTGCTCATCAGGTCTTCTCTTAGTTCCTTACAAGCTAGGATTTAGGGTTTTGGTTATTGTAAATGTTATTAGAACTAAATTTTTTGACTTTTTGAAGCCTAAAAATTCTATATTAAGACAGATAATTAATATTCATGGGCTTTGGTGCTGCTTAATTTGATGTTCATGGTCATCAGTTTCCATGCAATTAAAATGCTTACAAATTTGGCTTCTTTTTTGTCTTTTGATTGTTTTGAATTAGATATTGAGTTACTTTTGAATGTCTTTGAAAGGGCTCAGAATGGAAGGAGAAAGCGGAGAGTTTGGAACTCGAACTTCAGCAATGTTACAAAGCTCAATCTCGATTGTCCGAGCAACTTGTGGTGGAAGTAGCAGAGTCCAGAGCTTCAAAAGCTTCACTTCAAGAGAAAGAAGCAGCAGTGGCTGATCTCCAAAAGGAGTTAACAGAAAAAAGGTTGACTTTTTAACTAGTAATAGCAAGGGGGATGCTTTTCAGATTTCAAGGTTCTGTATGATTGATTGCAATTGTTGCAGGGATGAATGCTCTCAATTAACGGCTGACTTAGAAGAGAAGATTAAAGCCTTAGAATTGGTTGTGAGTGAGAACAAGGAAATAAGAGCGCAGCTTGAAGAAATGTCTATTAGAGCTAAGAATGCTGAGGCTGAAAGTAAGGTGTTAATTGACCGCTGGATGTTGGAAAAGATGAAGGATGCTGAACGCCTTAACGAGGTACTTATATCAGTTATATAATCAGACTGAACTTTTGGTTTGGTATAGTAGATACCAGTAGATGTCGATTGCTTTAAGGTGTGATATTATGTTAAAAGACGAGAAACATAGCTATAATGCCTTAGTCTCCTGGGTTGATGTTTCTCGAGGCTCTGATTAATCTCGTGGCTTGCTGTAAGTGGTACCAAGTATTGACATTCACTCTTTATATGTTGGATGACTAGGCCAATTTGTGCTTAACTGCATACATACGTATTCTTGCCACTGTCATATGTTCTACGGAAGTACTAGAAAAACCTAAATAAAAACAATAGTGTATTTTAGCTAATCAATTAGGATATTTGTTGGCATGGGCGTTGCCCCTTTCTTTCACGAGTTTTGATTATTATTTGACTTGACATAAAGCCTTCAGAAAGTAGATGTGATATTTTGTTGTTAGCACTCTTTTGTTTTCCAGTGTACAAGAGTAGGATTTTGATTTTCTTTGGCTCTTGGAAGGGATTTGTTTATAAAATTTCTACCTGTTTTACATATAATGTATATTGGGGTAACTCAGTTTTTCTTTATTTAATTTAGGCAAATGCACTCTATGAAGATATGATTGAGCGGCTCAGGGCCAGTGGTCTGGAAAAACTTGCTAGGCAGCAAGTAGATGGTGTGGTCCGCCAAAGTGAAGAAGGTGCTGAGTACTTTGTGGAGTCAACAATTCCCTCTGCATGCAAGAGCAGGATCCATGCCCATGAAGGTGGCTGTGCTTCCATATTATTTGAGTACAATTCTGGCAAATTGATTACTGGCGGACAGGACGGGTCCATCAAAATGTGGGATACAAACACTGGGGCACTAAATCATACACTTCACGGTTGCATTGGTTCCGTTCTTGATATTACCATTACCCATGATAATAGATCTATCATTGCAGCAAGCAGCTCAAACAAATTGTATGCCTGGGATGTTAGCTCGGGGAGGGTTCGCCATACTCTCACTGGCCACATGGATAAAGTATGTGCTGTAGATGTTAGCAATTCAAGTCGTCATGTTGTGAGTGCAGCCTATGATCGTACCATAAAAGTTTGGGATTTGCAGAAAGGTTACTGCACCAACACAATTATTTTCCCCAAAAACTGCAATGCTCTTTGCTTCAGCATGGATGGACAGACCATATGTTCTGGGCACGTCGATGGAAACCTTCGCTTGTGGGATATTGAGAAAGGAAAGCTACTCAGTGAAGTAGCTGCACATTCAAATGCTGTTACATCCATATCTTTGTCCCGAAATGGCAATGTTGTATTGACAAGTGGGAGAGACAACGTGCATAATTTGTTCGATATGCGGTCTCTGGAAGTCTGCGGCACATTAAGAGCCACCGGAAACAGAGTGGCGTCTAACTGGAGCCGGTCCTGTATCAGTCCAGACGACAATTATGTTGCTGCTGGATCTGCTGATGGTTCTGTGTATATTTGGTCAATCTCTAAGGCCGACATTGTGAGCACTCTGAAGGAACACACTGCATCTGTGCTGTGTTGTTCATGGAGTGGGCATGGAAAACCTCTAGCTTCTGCGGACAAGAACGGCATCGTTTGCACTTGGGCATGAATCGTTTGGCTGAGGCAGTTTATTCTTGTTTCCACTAGACACATCTCACTCTTACACAATGTACACAAGTTTTATTAGATTTGGTGTAAATATTTGATTGATTCATCTCGAATTGTACCATGTGTGCAGTCATTCTTCTCTCTTTCTCATACAGAGTTCCTGAATAAATTTTATTCTTTTTTTTTTTTCTGTTCTTGTTTCTTGGCCATAGTTGAGAGTAGGCTTAGCTATGCCAATTGCCACTCTATAAATTATGATTCAAACAATATTAAATCAAATTTGCCAATTTTACAATAACTTCCATTCTATATGAAAAATTCCAATAATTAATCCTTACCCATACCCGTTGTAGCTTTCTTGGCCCTATAAAAATAAAATTAAAAAAATTAAAAAACCTATCTAATCTGTTGTTCAAATGGGCCAAATAACAACCATGGAATCATTCGTCAATCAGGCCCAACATGGAGTGGAGCTTCTCTACCTAGTTACTATAAAGCATTCTGGGGTTTGGATTCGACCCGTTTTCAGTAACGGAAAGTCCTGCCAGTGGTCCTACTCTCTCGCCTGAAACCTAAAACGGAGATTGGAAGAAGTGAAAGAGAAGGTTAACGATGGTGAAGGTAGCAACCTACTTTGCTATGACTTTGGGAGCTTTTGTGTTCTGGCAATCCATGGATAAAGTCCACGTCTGGATCGCTCTCCATCAGGACGAAAAGGTAAAAAACTCTTCTTTCTCATCATCGCAATTTCTCTTTCGAATTGGGCTGAGAATGTGGGTAATTTTGAATTTTTATTTAGGATTTCAATTCAATTTTAGCTCCAGAAGCTCAAACATTGAGATGGGTCATAATTAAATTGCTCAATTCTTCGTGAAAAATGTTATTTTGATGAGTGAAATGACATGAATTTTTTTTGGGGTGGGGGGTTAGGTTTGCTTAAAATGTATTTACTGTTTCCTACCTTTGAGCTTGATTTATTCATTAATTGTTTTCTTGTCAATCAAGAGGGTAATGCTTGGTTAATGGGGATTGAGGAACATAGTTGAACTTGGAATTTCTCCTTAATCATTGTTATTATGCTATATTTATGCAATATAGTGACACTCCTGTGTAGATTAAACCTTTATGAGTTAGAGCCAATTCTTATTCATGGATTTCTGATATGGAGCTCTTCTTCCATGGTGGATTGTGTGTTTCCTCGTGTGTTGCTTATTATCATTACTAGTTGGGTTACTTGTGTTTCGTTTGTTTCTTTTAAACCACGTACATATTGCATGCCATACTTTGGGTAGAAAGCACAAAATTGTGTAACAGAGAAACAAGCATTTGCATTTTGGAGAAATAAAACCATTTGTAATTAGATTAATATTCAAATGATAGCAGGAAGCTATTATATTGTGCTTACCTTTTCAATGAACCTTTTTAGTTGATCTTCTCTAATCTTCACATATGGATCATTGTGTTTTGGTGTTTTGGTATTGATTTCCTTTCAAAATCTTCCATACTTCTGCTACTGTGTCAGCAAGAAAGACTGGAAAGGGAATTGGAAATTAAGAGGGTTAGAGAAGAGCTGCTGCAGCAAGCCAAACAAAGGGAGACTCAAGCATGATCTACTCGATTGATTTTCTTGTACCCTGGTTTCCCTTTGTTTCCTCTACTTCTGATTTTGTTTGAGCGTAGCTCTTTTGAACAGTCTCATGGTTCTGGAATAATTTAACTTGGCGTTCATGGGATAGCTAAGTTTTGTCGTATGAATGACTTTGTGTAAGATTTCGAAAATGATATCATATTTTTCAATGTTATAGTGACGCTTTGAAATGTTAATTACCGTATGTTCAGGCACAATTAGAAACAAGTTGTTGGAATATATTTTCCTTTATCTTCAGGCATGAATTCTTGATGTTAGATATTCTGTAACTTACCAAATCATCAATGTCAGTGATTTTAGTTGTATCTCATCTCCTGACTTGTTTGACTTTCTAGTTCCATTTCCTTAGAGCTGAAACTACGATCACTTTCCCCCCAGTTTCCTTCCACCGTAAACTTTTTAACAGCATGAAGTCCTCAAGCCATCCTCATTGTGAGGTTGTTGCTTTTCCTGTGAAAGGGTATCTTTCACTACAAGATGCGCTAGATTTCTATTGCAGTCATTAGAGGTTTTTGTTCTTTTTTTCATATTTATGACCTTAATTCCTGTGGCCTCCTCTTTAATGTAAACACTTGTACCTTCTCTCTTTAGATTGGTTTGTGAAAGTTGGTTATCAAAAGCACCGCATGGTTTTCTTGATAAGCTGCACTGGTTTGCACTTTACACCGTCACGGGATACACAGATGAGCTAGCCAGTTAGGCTTCATGGCGTATCATTTTGAATTTTGTGCTGCCTTTTCACATACAGCCTCACACTTTGAATCCATCTAATGATTTGAAAGATGAGGACATACAAGCAGAGCCATCAACAAACTATTGTGCTAAAGTTGAATAAGATTGAGCCATTGGTTGTGCAGATAAGGTGTTCTTGCACACAGGCACTCAAAAATTTATTGATGAAACCTACCCAACAGATTTTGGATTCTCCTGCTAACAGCTTTTGGATTATTGTTCATCACAAAGATTTTTTCTTCTCCCACACTTAATTGACATTTTTTCCAATCACCGTTCTTATTGATCATAAATCATCCTACCCAACAAACGCAGCAGTTCTCTTTCATTTTTGTTGTTTCATTTGTTAATACACGTCCATTCTACTTCTTTTTTATCTCTTAACACCTAAAATATTGTTACATGTCAAATCATTTGGTGATGAAAATGTTGCGTGCCACCTTATGATATGTGTTGTCGCATCATTTGATGTTTAAAATTTGAGACATTTTGTAGTGTATAACATTATTGAAGGTTGTTTTTAAAGAAGTTCTTGTGTCCACAAAGAGATACAAATCGATAAAGCCTCCCTCGCTTTTTGCCGTTTTGATTAAAAAAAGGCCGTCTCACTTTCTCTACATGTACAAGTGACTAGTTCCCAAATACACTACGCCAGCGGCTTTGTGAAGTACAAGCGATGTTTTACTTCAACTGCCGACCTAGTCAAATGGTTTGGACTTGTATTTACAAGGTTGAGTCATCTCTTTCTTTGATTGCTTCGGCCTAAAGGAATTTCTTGCATCACATCTTTCTCTAGGTTTCTATAATTTGGGATCATGTTTTTAGAATTTTATTGGCTGAAATTATGGAATCATCTTAACCATAAGGGAAATTCTAGTTACGACTTTGTATTCAGTTCGAACACATGAAAATACAACACTCGTTATGTCATCATGACCCATTGAGTGATACATTTGACTTTTGAATCGGGACATTAAATTGCAAGATTACTCAAATAAAGAGTATATTATCTCTTTTTTTTTAGTACAAGCGATTGAGGGAGGAGGTTTACACAAATATTCATTAGGTGCATGGAGTTTCGAATCTCAACCCACATGGGTGGATAGTGGCGGACTCAGACTTTTTTCCATCTGGGGACATAAAAAACAATTTCATAGCTGACTCCTACAAAGTCTAGGTTTTCATAGCAATACGATATATATTATAACAAATAATCTAGAGTGGTGATTTCCCAATTCCAATTTTATCCACTTACACTCCATTTTATAACTAAAAAATGAGTGTAAGTAGATAAAATTGGAGTGGGAAAATCATGACTCATCCTATTTCAATAAATTTTTAATACATGATTTTGAGCCAAAATCTAAGGCTTTATATATTGAACCATATGTTTATTAAGTCTTGGGCCTTGATATTTTCAATATAGAAGGGGTTTTGGGCTAAAACTTATTTATTTAGGGTGCTGAGTGGGGATTTTGCATGCAAAATATTAGCCAAGTGTCTAATTTTTATTGGCAAAGTGTTTGGCTAGAGGGGTGAAGAAACCACCTAAGTGTGGACAGCTGCCCACAGTAGGCGTGTATTGGGTCGCCAGTGGGTGAAGGCGAAAGAGCTCAACCGATTGAGCTATACCCCACTTAGCGAGTGGATTATCTTAATCTAAACAAATTAAGCTTAACCACCAAGGGAAAAGGCAATTAATTGACTACGCGACAAGCTTAAAACTATCCAATTGTTGCCTATGCCTTGAGTTAAAAGATTACAAAGCAAGCAGTTATCACCACCACTTTATTTTCCACTTCGCAAAGTCGTGGCAAAAGGACTCAATCTACGTAACCCATGCTCCCTTTGCATACATGGTGATGGTATTATAACGTGTTGGGTATGTAATCAACAGAGAGATCAAGTCTAAATGCCCACACAAGCTTTCCATTTTGTAACTGCTAAAAATACCCAAATTCTTGCTTCCTTTTTCAAAAGTTCCAAAGCCTCAAATGAACAAAACTAAATCTAAGGCATTTCTTGCAGAACAAAACCATAACCCATTTCCCACACATCTTTTTGAACTCCACAAAACAATCATCACAGCCCATGCATTTTGGCTCTTAATTTTCCTCCATTATTTGAAGTAGTTTGATTTCCACAAGGAACCTGTACCTTACTCTATCTTTTCCTCATCACCATCATCACTCTAATTTTGTCCTGAATTCTTTGATCCTCTATATAAAGCAGCACTGAGGTCTCTGTATTCTCATTCTCATATTGTGTTCAATCTTCATAAGCCAATAGAAATGACTAAGTTTATTTGGGTTGCTCTTGCTCTGTCACTTGCTTTGGTTGTTGGGGTTGCTCAGAGTTTCGACTTCCACGAGAAGGACTTGGCCTCTGAGGACAGCCTGTGGGATTTATATGAGAGGTGGAGGAGCCATCACACGGTTTCCAGGAGCATTGATGAGAAGCACAAGCGGTTCAACGTATTCAAGGAGAATGTCAAGCATGTCCACAACACTAACAAAGGAGATAAGCCTTACAAGCTGAAGCTGAACAAGTTTGCTGACATGACCAACCATGAGTTCAGGAGCGTTTACGCCGGTTCAAAGGTAAAGCATCATAGGATGCTCCAGGGGGAGCAGCGCGGTGATGGGGGCTTTAGGTATGAAAATGTTGACAGTGTCCCACCCTCTGTTGATTGGAGAAAGAAAGGTGCCGTCACTCCTGTTAAGGATCAAGGCCAGTGTGGTAAGGAAAATTTCCTTCTTTTTTCTAGTTTGTTTCTTTTTGTTTGCCTATAGCAGCACAGAACTGGAAATGTATGAAACTAGGGTGGCCATTAACCGAAGTTCCTTTCGAGGATATTTTGCAGGTAGTTGCTGGGCATTTTCAACAGTTGTAGCTGTTGAGGGCATTAATCAAATTAAGACCAATAAGCTGGTTTCATTGTCTGAGCAAGAGTTGGTTGACTGTGACACTGAACAAAATCAAGGATGCAATGGAGGGCTAATGGAATTGGCATTTGAGTTCATCAGACGAAAAGGTGGCCTAACAACAGAGACTAATTACCCTTATCGAGCAGAAGATTCAACATGTAATGTTGCAAAGGTATACATTTTGTGCACTTACTTTTCAGGGATCGATATATCTTTGTCCATTTTGGATGCTCCTTCACTGTATACCCAACATGCTTTTGCAGGAAAATGCTCCAGTAGTCTCAATTGATGGTCATGAGAGTGTGCCTGCAAATAACGAGGATGCATTGCTCAAAGCAGCTGCAAACCAACCTATTTCTGTTGCCATAGATGCGGGAGGTTCTGATTTTCAGTTCTACTCTGAGGTAAACTTTCTAACTTGTATTCACTTTCGCTAAGCTAGTAAAACAGAAGGAAAAAGAAAAATCAGATGGTTCATACCGCCAGATCTTAATCTGCTCGACGATGATTTGCAGGGGGTATTTACTGGAAAATGTGGCACAGAGCTTGATCATGGAGTTGCAGTTGTTGGCTATGGAGCAACACTAGATGGAACCAAGTATTGGTTAGTGAAGAACTCCTGGGGCCCTGAGTGGGGAGAGAAGGGTTACATACGGATGGAGCGTGGCGTCTCTGCGAAAGAGGGGCTCTGTGGAATAGCAGTGGAGGCTTCATATCCAGTCAAGAACTCTTCCACCAACCCTAAAGGATCACCTACCTCCTATCCTAAGGATGAACTCTAAACAACATCCTCCATTGACTCTAAGCTTTGCTGATGTTGCTTCGGTTATAAATAAAAAATTGTTGCATGACACATGGCCTCATGGCCAAATAATGTTTCTCATAGATTTGAATTATTCATATCATCTAATATCTGTATTTGGTCTGCTAAGCTGAAATAACATCGTCGAATTAATTTCCCCAACTCTATGCCTATTCCTACAAAGCATAACAGATGTATCATCGAAGCAAGAAAGAAAAGAAGGTTCAAAATCAGAGTATTTTCAATATATAAAAGCATGATGCTTGATTGTCGTAAACAGTACGGGTACACCAAAACAAATTATAATGTTTTGGACCTCAACTGATGCGGCAACGTTTCATTTGTACATATCCGGTCTCACTATGAAACCTCATTTATTTACGATAAGTACGGCATTGACGCATCATATGTTTTAAGATTGAATCCTATGGCGTCATGCATGCATAAACTTGTCAACCGTAGCACCTAATAGGATCAGTGCAACCCTTTTCAGCAGACTGTTTGTTGCCTTGACCTCCTCCCTTTTCCAGATATTGCTGATGATACTCCTCTGCCCTGTAAAACCTCTTTGCTGGCAGAATCTCAGTCACCACCTTCTTATCCTTCAACTCCACTTGCTTTGCCTCCTTTGATTCCTGGGCCAGACGAGCCTGGTTTTCATTGTAGTAGTATATTCCAGATCGATATTGTGTACCAACATCACCACCCTGATACATATACACATAAATTTATTATTCAAATCAATCAGAAAATCATCTCATTTCAAGGTAATATCCTCTTTCATTGGTTATCAATTTGAACCATACACATACATTACACTCTATATCACGTTTATCGAGAAGCAAATATGATAACCGATAATTTAGCACATTTAGGACGAAATAATGATCACTAGTGTATTTGGTTTTGTAATTTTCCTTCTTCAGTTCTTTTAAACTAAAATTTAACGCGTTCGGAAATAAAATCCGTAGAGAATCCTCATTTTAGTTGCACTTCGTCAATTAAAAAAAAACATTCAGACATTCAAACAAACAAAAATCTATTGAGAAAATCAATTAGCAAAGTACAAAATTCCCAAATTACATAACCAAAAAAAAAAAAAAAACTACAGGGCATGAGTTGTACAAAATGTATTGAAACAATCTTGATTGATATTCTTTCCACATGTCACTGTCCCATCATATAACTTTTTGGTGCCAGAAATACAGAATTAGCTGAAATTCAGCAATTACTGCGACAGTCTGACAAAACCAAAAATAAAAAAGAAAAGAAATTTGTAGAATCAAATTCTTTTTTATTATTTTATTTGATAGTGCATCAAAATTCAAAAGAAAACGCTCAGCACAAAATTACAACTCCATAAGTCCAAAAGTGAAAGGCGCGAATCGAAAAAGGCTGGACTGGGCTGGGCTGGGTTACAAAATCAACGGTCCAGAAAACCAAACAAGATTACCTGGCGATTGAGCGTCGTTGGATCATGACGAGCCCAAAAGACAGAGAGCAGATCAGTGTAAGGGCAGACTTCCGGGTCAAACTGGACCCGAACCACCTCCGCGTGGTTGGTTTTTCCGGTGCAAACCAATTTGTAATTCGGATCCTCCACGTGGCCCTGGGAGTAGCCGACCTCGGTCTTGACCACTCCGACCACTCGCTGGAACCTCAGCTCCGCTCCCCAGAAGCACCCGGATCCGAATTGAGCGAACTCGTGACAAGGATTGTCCGGAGCATCGGAGTCCGGTTCCAGAGCCGGGTTGGTGGGTCCCGTCTTTTCTGAAGTAGCGGCCATTGTTGGTTCCTGACTGAGTTTTGTGAAATATGATTGATGCAGAGCAATGCGAATTAGTCTTCAACGTTGAATCTGGCCGCCAATCCTTGCCACGTACATTCCCAGCGATCCCGAACGACATGTCGTTGAACTTGTACTACTAGACTTCGTATTACTACGCGTGCTTATTGAATATAAAGTCCTAAATGTACAAGTAATCCAACGTGTGGTGGACGTGCCGGAGTGGTTATCGGGCATGACTAGAAATCATGTGGGCTTTGCCCGCGCAGGTTCGAATCCTGCCGTCCACGTTTTTGCAGTCCGAAATTAAATCTTTTTTTCTTTTTCCTAGTTGAGAACTTGAGAGAGTTGAGACCACAACTTGTTATGAATAAATGAGATTGGGCTTTGGCAAAGGTAAAAAAAAAAGAAAAAAGAAATTGGGCTGAATTTTTGTCTAGGACGCAATCGGGCTTATACGAATGTGGTGATGAGATGTTGACCCAAAAAAAGTGTTCAGATGAATGAGATTTGACAAGGCATATATGCTGATATGATGTTGTTGGCTTTGTATCATGCTCTGGTTAGTCATGATGATGTTTTGCAGATCCCCTCTCATGGCATCTTTGATCACAAAAGTCATGACATGAGAAGGCTTTTGAGAATGGTGCTTGCAAATGGAAGTATACATCATCAAGTTTTCCAACCAGAGGTGGCCATGAGAAGATTCCCTGTATGCTTTTGTTGCATAAGTGCTTATCTCAGCTTTTTTGTCCACTAAGTTTTGTTTGCCCTTTCTTCTAGCATCCCCCCTTACCATGATTTTCCAATTGACTCAGATGCTAACTAGAAAGTGGTACACAAAACATTAATGTCAGACAAGGCAATAGAAAGGAACATAATATCATTATGTGTTTGGTAATAAGAGTAATGCTAGGGAGCTCATCAAACGGTTGATCTCATTTCTATTCGAGATGTGGTACACGAGGCGGAGTATAAACATAATTACCCTAGCATTTTTCATGGTAATCATGAAGTCAGTAAGTGAGGGCTGCTGTTGGTGTCTGTGTCTGGACTAAAAATATCTTTAGAAAGGCAGCATCAACAATGAGACCAAAGAAAGATCGAATCTATAATTACATCTTTATTTTTTTCAGTCTGTTTAGCATTAGAGTCCTAGTTTGCATTTTGCAATGAAGAAAGGGACCAAAACGCTGTCGGCTTGCACTAACTTCCACCAATTGTGCCCTCGTATTGACCTCTCACCGCTACCAAATTGACAATATTACTTGGGAATGATTCTTCCCTTACTGAGCTACCAAGACTAAAAATTTCACAAGATAGTAGCTTATAGTCAAATGGAAAACAAGAGAGGCATAAAGATCTTTGTAAGCACGCAAATAGTATTTCTAAGGTTATTTTTGGTTATGCCATGACTTTTACTACTTTACCGATAAGATTTTCTGAGACCTCATAACATCTTATGATTGACAGAAACTTACATGTAACGAGGTGTATACGTTTAAATACGACACGTTATGTGGCAAATTATTATATTTGTACAAGGGTTTCATCAGGCTTGTGCGGTGTTATACGTGAAAACAACTGTTAGCATTTGAATGATTAAAAAAATTAATGAGGGTTTATTAGGATTTCGGATATATATCATGTTGACATAGAGAAATCCAACTTTGGTCCCTTTACCACTTCGTTTAGGACGTTTTGTATAATTAATTTACTCAAATTAATTATTCTGATAATGAGTAGAACCTTGAACTAATCTAGAAGTACATGTGCATTAAAAGGATCAAAATATTAATATTTTCTTGTTGAGTATCAGTTTTTATAATATTTTCAAACTTTCATGATGTGTACTCGAAGGAGGCTCAAGTTTGATGAGGGAGAGGTTTCAACATACACCGGCCGGCTTAGCAGTGGTTGAGGCTTCAGCATCAGTATTGTTAATGTTATGCACGTTTTTAAGGATGGGCAAAGAAAACATTTGCAAGTTACATATTTTTTAAAGAATAAAGTGTGGAAAAATGTTTGATGTACTATAAGTTTTCGTATTTTTTATGCAACACACTGACGTAACAATTTAAGTATTCGGATAACGCAGAACACGATATCAATTTTCTTTTCACAAATCGGTTTACGGATAACGTTTTTAATCACTTGAATTATAAGTACGAGATTAAACTAAATCAAATGAAAATGTATTGATATTTTAAATCACCAAATCACATGAGAAATCATATGTTTAAATATAAATATGAAACCAAACAGGACATGATAATACCCCCCCGATTTGGTAACAAAGCAAACTATGTTAACCCAAATTTCAACTAGGGTTAACCTTCTATCCTCCCTCAAGGAAGAAGCACAACTCTCACTTCAATATACAATACACAAATTTTTGACATCTGGGGGAAAATGGACATTGTGGTAACAATAAAAAAAGCATACCACTAATTTGCCGCAGACCTAATTAACGACGACTAATTAATCACAATCTGAAGGTTCTAATCCCATGGCTGCATCTGGTCTCTCCTAATTCCTCCTCTCTCTTCCTCTTGGGCAGGGACAAGGAAGATATTGTTTTGGCTGACACCACCTTCCTCACAAGCAGTTTCCACCTTGCATCATCTTTCTTTTTCTCTGCCAGCATTTTCAACTTGAATTGCCTGTCGCATTCCCAAAACGACGCCATATTAATAAATATCAATGCTAGCTGCTAAATAAATTGGATACTCATAAATGACAAATGGACTAGTTGCACAAGGAAAAGGACAATTAGCTGAGCTTGATGCCCCACCCATCCATGATATTTTATTTGCCAGTTGTTTTTTTATGAACCAAAATAAGCGAAGGGATTGAGGGATCCTCATTTGTTTGGCTTTATTAGCCACCTTATGTCTCCTTCCTCCCTATTAAATCATGATACGCACAAGCTGTCACACTGGTACCTTCTCTACCAGAATTAAGGGAACAGCATCTAATTACGCCTAAGTATACTCTTAGGTTAAAAGATCTAGTACGCATTTATCAAAAGCCGACAACAACCAACGCAAACATTTAAAAGACGTGTGGTCGAAATTTACAGTTTGACAAAAGAACATTAACCGCGATATAACTTCGGGTTGTCATGAGTTAGGTTCCACCACCACCAACCCAAAGATGCCTCTATCGTTGAAGTTGGTTTCATTCATATAGACTAGTCAATTCCTTCCTAGTCCTATTATGAGATTCCAAACCAGAAAAGGCCAAACCCTCTTGAGATTTTTCTAAATTGGTTTAATTTCAGGTGGCATACCAAAACATTTATACAAATAACATATGCAAAGAAAACCCATTACTTATATTTTAGCTGATAGAATCTTTTGGCATCCTACCAACAACTCCTCCTTTTTTCTTGGTTATTCATTAAACTATAATTAGCATTAATTTGATCATCGTTAATTATATGTTTACCTGCAAAGAGGAACTCTGCAAGAGTCGGGTTCGTCACACATCGACGAATGAAGCCTAAGAAGCTGCCACATGCGCTTGCAACGCAAGCACCCTCCATTCACCCTCCTTTTACAGGTGGCGAAGTGCTGGATCAACAGCTGCAGCCCTTGACACGTGGAGAACTTGCTGCATGGGCCCCTCTTGTGACCTGGCTCCATATCGTAAGGCCCAACACTCGTGCACCCTTCCTTGCATATGTGCTCTAAGCACTCCATGGCCTCACTTAGCTGCAGGTACAACCTTTGCTCCTCCCTCAGCTTCCTTGTCTTCTTCTTCCTCTGCTCACAAAAAGGGAAAATTAATTTTTGGTCCTTACAATATCAAATTGGGGTCAAAATATAATTAAAAATTCCAAGTACGATGTACATCAACAGTTCAACATCATGCGTGACATTCTAAAATTTGTCTTACGAAATGAAATAAATAAACATCGTATTAACTCACCGACGCGGTTTCGTCGATGAATTGTAAGATGTCGAGTTCGAGCCAAGGGTCATGATCTTGGAGGAATTTCCAGCCTTCAGTATTCTCGACAGCCTTGAAGTGATTAGCGACCAACTTCAAGCACTTGAGGTAGAGATCCGCTGCGTCGCACATCTTGGCAAGTTGGAGCACATCCACAACGTTTTCGATGGTCAAACGTTGACCCAGCTCCTTGATGCATCTGTGCTTCAGCTGTGGGACCAGGTACACGTGGGACAGCGCGAGTAGATGGATCCCGTACTTCTCCATATGCTCTTCCGTGCACCTGCATCAGGGGGTATTGTCGTCAATTCACTAATAATCATATTAAACGTTCCTCCAATTTTGGAAATTAATAATTAAATTAAAATATGTCGGAAACGGACGGTCATGATGAAATGGACGGTGCAGAAAATTGATAAGAGTAAGAACGTGCTAATTAGGAAAAGCGGGTGACGGCAACGAACCTTGAGGAGTAGAGGAAGCGAACGAAGGCCAATACGGCGTCGTATGGGACGCCGGTGATCGGAATGACTCGCTCGGAGCTCCGGTGCTTACGTGGCCGATCAATAATGTTTTCCAGCACCGGCGACGCTGAGGCCTTCAAAATTCAAAAAGGATTCAGATCTCTTTTCAAAAATAAAAGAAAGTTAACTAATGTTTTTGAGTTACGAAAGGGAAATGAAATGAGGAGAGGTGTTTGGTTGGTGGAACAGTACGTACCAGAATGCTAGAGTGCGCCGGGATCCGCAGGGCGTCGCAGGTGACGATGTGGACATCGGGTTCGGGTAGGTCTCGTGGGTCGGATTTGGCGCCGGGTAGTCCGTACAGGTCATCGGAAATGTTGATGGCTACGGTGGGATTAGTTTCCATTTCTATAGAGAGAGAGAGAGAGAGAGAGAGAGAGTCAGAGAGGCAAAGACAGATATTATGAGTAGAAAGAAAGGAGTCTTTTTGCGAGTCTCTGTTTGTGAGAAGATGAAAATGTTTGAGGGTCTCCCCTGACTTTATAGAGAATTTGAGATTTTTTTTTAATATTATTTTTTGTTGTTGTGGGGTTCGGCCCGGTGTGGTTCCGATAATGAAACGCAAAAGAACAAATATAAAACAACCAAGGGTGACCGATGTTTGTCCACCTCAGTCTCACGCGCCATTTAAGAGCCACATTTATACAAACATTATGTTGGCTCTTCCTCTTGTTGTGATTATAAATTGAAAAAAAGAAAATATATGTTACTAAAAAAGTAGACATGGTACTATAGATTTTGATAATAATTTAATTAAAATCGAGACTAGGCACCAAACGAGATAGAAGAAATTTACGATAATGAAATTCGAGGTCTTACCGAATTGGAAAACCTCAAAGTGAAGTTGATTATGGCCGGCGTGGTTTACTTTAGTTACCAATATCAAATTTTCCAAAATTAAATCAGTCTGAACCGAGAATGATTATTGATTTTCATTTGGCGATTTGAGGGCTAGAATGGGCCGAACAAGGCTGTACTCAATCCTAATTGCTCATTTTAAAAATGAATATAGAAAAAAAATATTGTTTTCTTATACACTCTGATCTTGTTTGGTTCACGGAACAGATTTGAGGGGAAATCACTTACCATGTTATTTCCTAAGATATGAGAAATGGAAGATTCATTTTTCACGTTTGGTAATGCCAGGAAAGATATGCATTGAATGTTGGCTCATTTTCCCAAACTTTCTTATGAGAAGGGAAAATAAAACTCAAGTTGGGAGGAGAGCTTCATTTTTTCCCTACTTTTTCATGTGCCAGACAACCATTTCTCACGCTTGGACTTACCAAATGTAAGAAAGTAATTAATTTTCCATCTCTAAACCTCCTTTTTCATGAACCAAACGAGACCTCTATGCTTATATATTTCTTTACATTTTTACCTTGACTTTTACCTTAATTTGTATTATTACTTGGTTAACGGAAATGTCCAAAGTAAATTGTGCGTGTGGGAAGCATCCATCATTTGCTAGCTAAGAACAATATTTCCATCTCTACCCCTGCCAACTTGGGAACTTGCTTTTTTTTATTTTAGTGATTATCCAAGATTATATGGGTACTATTTTCGATCTGACGTGTAAGGTTTAGCCCACAATACCCACTTGGCATTATACAAACAAACCCAATAGGGCCGGACTTAAAAAATGAAGGCCAAATTATAATAAGCGGCCTTTCGCCTTAGGGGCAGGTTGACTCAATCCGACGTGTAAGAATTCGTGCTCATCCTTTGCATCTCGCCTGCTCCAATCACAAACTAATATCCACGTATACTTACACGTGTCAACAGCCCATCTTCACTACAAAAATAAATAAATCAAGATATTAGTTTAACTAAGTCGAGTGCAAAATCAGGCGTCAATTAGCGCCGTACTTGGGCCCACTAAAATGACAGGTTTTATTTCCTCACACGTGTCCAGGAAGTCGGCGATCACCGCTTGCGTTTAGAGCAGACGACACGTTTTCGAGTGCCAGTGAGGTAGGTACTGGCGTGCTAACTGTCGCGTTCTAGGCAAACAAAACTATTTTTGTTTTATATTTCTCAAATACCTGAGCTGACCTAATGGGATACGAAACTTAAATGTGGCCTGTTGCAGTGGTGTCTTTCTCAGAAGTCATAAGAGAATAATGCAAACCTCTGCATAACTAAGCATGTCATTAACAAGTATTTATGGCATGCACCTAAAGACAAATTAAAAATGATAATGATTTCCTACTTCGAATTAGGACAGCTACTAAACTTATGTTTCTAACAGGAAAATAATGATGTCTTACAAATCCAACCCATCGAAACTACGACACTTTGAACGCTTTACCTTAAAAGTGTGCTTATGTCCATGTATGAAAATTATGATGCACCAAAGCAAGGTTTACAGATATACTGTTGCCATCCATCCCGAGAACATGTATGTTCTTGTAACGTTGCAATTGTGTGGGAAAATGGATTATAGAATTACAAGAAAGTGGATTATTTTTCTTTAGACCTGTTAGTACGAAATATATATTGGTATTTCCTATAACTTAATATAGGTTTGGAAGTCATTTAGCTGTAGGATTGAAGTACTACTTGTTTGACAAGAGTGCTAGCCCTGCCCTACTAAAGTTGGATTGCCTCTTGTCGTGAATACTCCTGCTAGGTGTAAGTTATGCTCACTTATTTGGTCAACTGCTTCTCTCTTTTAATTGCAATCGAACAATTTCTCTAATCAAGTATTTTGTTTTTATTATTTTGTTTTTCCTATTTGGCCTTTTCCTGTAGATACGATCACACGAACTAGACTTACCCAAGTTCCACCCTAGCCATATACTGTTTGAGGCAGGGCCCAAGGGGGAGGGGCTATCTCCTTATGAATCTTCTTCTTTCACGGTGTTGGTTATACTGAAGTATATGGCCCCTACCCTACCCATGTTCTTAAAATAAACACATCTGCCGAGAATTAGAATCTACCATGCGGGGCATTCTGGTTAGATCAGGATCATGATGGGATGCTAGATCTTATAGAGATCAATTCAGCTCGTCAGGACTCTTTCAATTGGAGTTCTAATTGAAAGAAGTGGCTCATGACTATTGATCAACCCCTTGCAGGTTCTGGAAATTTTAAAATCTTGGTGTCTTTTACATGTATGATTGAATTTTAAACTATGGTTTTGTTTGTTGTAGAACAATCAGTATAAACCCAAAATAACAGAACAAAAAACCAACGAATATATTTTATATAAATATAATTGAATCAATACAACAGTAATATAGATTGTAGAATACTGACTTGAATTGTAGATAGAGTCCTGCAGATTTGCAGTGTCCTTTAGACAGTATTTCTCCTCTACCCTTGTGCTTGTAGTTCGATAGAAGTCTGTTCACCAGGATTAAACTATCTTAAATCTAAGCCTAAGCACAGTGGCTTTGATTTCTGGCGAACAGTAGTATGAATTCTCTCATGAAGTGTTAAAATGTGAGAATGATAATGCAGTTTAAAAAAGGTGTTTTTTCTGGTTTGATCGTATTGTCAATATATAGAGGTCTAACACCTCTTCATCCAACAGTTATGTTAAGGGTTTAGGTTTTGGTTTTATCTGAAAAAACCGAATTTTCAATTAATAAAAGTAAATTATTAATTAAATCAACATAGCCCCAAGGCCCAAGGCCCATCTTTTGACAATTAATTATATATATATATATTTATATATAATCCAAGCTCAAACCATTTTGAGGCCCAAGTTTGCCTCCACTAGGCCCATACTATATTTAGTATTTCTTATGTGTTGGTGCATATAAACCATGGAAGGAAACTACTCTCTTCCAATGTGGGACTAAATGCAAGTGTCTTTTCCTATACAAACTCTAACAATACCCCACATTTGTATAGGAAAATTATAATGTGCGTATTTGAGAGAAAACTTAGATATGACACACATCAGGAAAGGTGTCTTTTGGACTTGAACCTACCATAGTGAATACTTATCGGATTAACTAGGTGACGCAGTGAATATAAAATCTTGAACTGTTCACCTATTGTTGTAAACCGAGACAACAAGTATCACATATGTTACATCTTAACATACAACTTATTCATACGTTTGTGTTTATTTTGGTCCTGAACAAATCCTGGATTCATAGGAGTTTTAGAGAATTTAGTCATCTCATTCTCATAAATGCGACCCCACATTTGCTCTATTCCTCTTGATTTCAAGAAATCAACATCATTAAACTTTCGTACCCTAATAGACTTCTTGTAGACAACGCACTTTTTTCCATCATAGGAATGAGATCCAAGTGTGTTAGCTCTTTTGAATTATGCCTAACCAGTTTGCCTATTGAACCTAGACCATGGGATCTCCAATCAGCTAGGTTAGGTTTCCGTTAGGCCGATTCATTTATTGAATTGGCTTCAATCCCATTCCCCTCGATGTTAATTTGATTTGCTCTCTTGACAAGCTTTTTGTAAGCGGATCCGCAAGATTTTGTCTTAACTTTATATAGTCAATAGAAATTATTCCATTTGAGAGCAACTGCTTGATTGTATTA